TTGACTTTGAAGTTTTGAACCAAAACTTGGATTGGGGTCTAAGACCAACCTTGGGTTCGAGGTTCAGCATAGACACTTTCAGACCAATACTGGGCTCGGGTTTTGGAACTTGCACTAGAGTTAAGGTTTGGGACTAAGGCGGGGGTTGGGGTCCAGGGCCGGGACGAGGATCGGGATTGGGGTCTAGGTCCACAACTAGGATCAGGGTTTGGGACCAATATTGGAGTCATGAACTTGTGTTCATCACCAACATTGGGTTGGGGTTTGAAATTGTGACCCGGGTTGGGGTCTAGGATCGAGGTCCCTGACATTGGACCTGAACCCTAGACCAACTATGGCCCTAGTACCAGACCTCGACTTTAGTTGCGGACCTCCACCCCAACCTTGGTCTGATACCCTAACCTTGACCTCGGTCCTAGTCCTAAACTTTGACCTTGACCCTGGGTCAAGTCTTGGATTCCGATCTCAACTCCAGCCTCAATCCCAGTTCCGACTCTGGCCAGTCACGGACCCTAACCTCAACCCTACGCTTGTTCGAAACTCGATACCAATCACGGGCAGCCTAGTCACAAAGCCTAACTCATGTCCCACTCAGACACCAAATTCGACTGTGGACCTTGGTCCAAATCTAGGAGTTGGGTCAGGTTGGTCATGGCCTAAAGTGTATCTTTGAAAAGTTCAGTGGTAAAGTGTTGTTTTTAATAAGACACAGCCAAACAATGTATTATCCCAAACTAAACACAATATAATATAGTGCAGCAAAATGGCTCTAAGGGGGCTTCTCTAGTGTGTGCAACTATGCTATTCAGTTCAGGACCTTTTTTCTATTACTTGTACCAGCCAAGAGTTTTTATATTAACCATGTTGTAATACCAGTCTTGTCATTCAAGTTGTTTTCAAGAATATTCAATACAATTTATATCAATTTCCTGTTCTTTTGATTACATAGCCTGATATGGGTATATGAAATCTCCTTTTCTTGAAACTCAAAAAGCATTAGGGATATATCATATATGCAACTAACATGCAGGTCACACATGGGAATTTATTGGTCCCCATTTGGTCACTTTACGACGGATACTCGAGTGTCATCATGTTGAGTTGGTTCTATACTAGTCATCTGAAGTTTGACTTTTGTTATCAAGAATAATCATCCCAGAATTCTATGGTTCTTTTTATTCCAATGCTAAAATCTCTTGCTGTTTTAGTACATGAATCGCTGTCCCGAAACGGCTTGTGCCGTTTCTTTCGGACATTGCATTGCTTTCAATGGTAAAAACATCGACCTGTGGCGGACATTTCCGACATGAACCGCGTAGCAGTGTCGTTGGTCCCCAGCTTAGGTAACTATCTTTGCAAAAGCTTCAGTTTCTTGGTGGGGTTGGCTAGATTCTCTTCCTCCCTGAGTTGTCTCTTTTAGCATATATATTTTATCGAGGGTTTTGGCACTATAGATTTTAACTTGGTTCAGTAATGAGAATTTGGTCTAACGGTCTTAACATAAATATCTCACGTCTTAAAAATCAAAGTTCCACGTTTTTACCTTGTATTTTCACTGATGTCTTTGGTTATTGTGTTTTTAATCTTACGTTACAGATTTAAGGTGTGAAAATACCATTTTAACTCACCTCAGGACACCTTTAAGTTTGATCAATTTAATGAACCTCGTGGTTTAAACGGTCTTTCTACACATTAAGTTTTAACTAAATTTTGTTAAAAATGCATGAAATTAAAAAGCACAAGGAATGGTCATGGCATTTGTAAAATTACAGAGTAAAACGTGCCATTTTTATAAGAAACAAGGAAGATTTTAAGTGTTTCTCCCCATATTTTTTGGCCGATTAGTCCCCAAATTTCAATTTTCTAATAGTTTTATTTCTTATTCCTAGAAAGACGAGTCTAACGCATTATAACTCGAAATTTAACAAAACCAACCACACGACTTGCAAAACACTGAACTCTTGAAGATCTTCAACAACAATGAAAAGACAATATTTTGCACCTTGTTATGCGACTTTCCATGGATTATTTTGAGTTATTATGCAATGAGCATGTTATCTTTGTTAAATTTTATAAATCCATCATTAATTTTATAAATAAAAACTACAACTATCAAATGGATCGTGTCAACTTGCGTGCTGTGGAAAGAAAATATAATGATAATAGTAAAAGAAACTTTGTTAAGTTCCCTTTTGGTAATCATTTGTGTGCTTTCTCAAAGGACATAACAAACTACAAGACGATAAAAACGCACTTTTAAAATCATTCAAGGGGGGGTAAATGAAATAGAATTATTCCAAATAATTAAGCTGATCTGGTACTCCACTAATCGATATCTGCAAATCAGGATTTTGGGTCATGATTATTGGAATCTAAAACATCTTCCTTACTAGCTAATCTTGATTAGATTTCCTTACAAGGATGCAATTTTCTTATCTCATCACCAAAGACTCAGCATCCTCAATAATTTGCACTACGTAACGTTCATAATATGATCAGTCACATATAGAGTTCTCTATTTAAATTTTAAATAACAATAATTTGCCATTAGCAAAATAAAAAAAAATACAATAATTTGCACTACGTAACATCCATAACATGAGCCACATCTAGAGTTCTCTATTTAATTAATAATAATGTGGCACCTGTTAATTGTGTTCTCTTTAGTCTTTTTTTTATTATTGTTCTCACCTATTCCCCCAAACTTTAAGATCATTTTCATTTTATATTTAAAAGTTTAAAAATTCTCACTTTATCTCTCAAATTTTAAATTAGCCAGTCCCACTAAACTGTCATTGTTAGAATGTTTGTTAAAAACAAACAGAAAAATAGAGAATTAAGCGCAATTAAGTGAACTTTTTTCGTTTGCTTTTTAACAGAAATTCTAATAGAAAATATTACGTAAGACAAATTCAAAATTCAGGACTCGTTCAGTTCGTTGATTCGAGTTTTCAATTTATGCTGAGATGTGATTTTATGTGAGAGGTTTTTACTATAAAAGAAAAAGTTAGATGTGACTTTTTGTGAGAGCTTTTAACTGTAACAAAATTGAAATTGAAAACTCGAATTAGTGAAATAAACGAGACCTCAATGTGCAAACTAGAAGCTTTTAAAGTTTAAGGCGGAGAATGACACTTCGGAGACACATGGTGAGTTTTTTTATATATAAAAAAAAAACAAAACAAATATTGGGTAGATTCCTTTTTCCAATGTAAGAGTATGAACACTATGTTTGGAAATTAGCCATTGCCTCATTGTATGTTTCACAAACGAAGAAAACATCAATGGCCCTGTAGATTAAGCCATGTTGACTAAAGAACAAGGTTGGAATGGCTGGTAGCGGAGACAGACAAGGATGTTGTACGGCCCGGAATGTTGGTCCCAGTTGGTTGACACTGATTTCTGTAGGCGAACAACTAAACAATGAATTTTAAGTGGTAGTGACTTTCAATTGTGATGTTTTGTTCTTTTTATGAGAAATTCCATATATTACAAAAAACACAAAGGGAAACAATTAAAAGGAACAGTTATTGGTTGTCATAGGGTCGGTTATGGCTTTAGTCCTAGCATGTTGTGTGTCCTTGTTCTCATTTGACAACCATTCTTACACTACTCTCTCTCTACCTTCCATTAATATGTTGATCATGTGTATCCTTATCATGAGAAATCTTTTGGCTATTTCGTTTTGATCACTTTGTACACAAGAAAAAGGGAGACAGATAGAATCAATAATTGAGTACTTTTTAAGTTTATTGTTTATGGGGGCCATGTAACAAAATCTATTGAAAAGATGGAAACACGTTTGCTAAATTATTTGCTATGCGAGTTGAATACAAATTTGAATATTTAGCATATTGTTACTAATGCTATACTTAATATATCAAATTTGGCATGTGCTTGCTATCTTAGTGTGAATTTTGACACCAAATGTGGCCTATATGTTCTAAATATTGGTATTTGGTTGTTTATGAATTGATGAATTGGCTTTCCATTTAATAATTTATAACATTACCCCTTCCTCATATAACGCGGGATCGCCCTTCCAAACATCTCATCCCATGTCGTTTGACCTAGTCGTGCAATATAAGTATTTTCAAATTATTCAAAAAATAAAAAAGTTTTCTTTTACAAATTCTAAAATTAAAAATTTATGACAAATACTAGATATATTATTCATAATGTTATTATGCATTGAAGTACACAAAATTTCCACTTTTTTCCACAAAATATAACATTCGTACTCCCGCTGAAGATGGTATAAGGTTACAAATATTAACATGAAACCAAAGCAACACAAAATCATGAGATATCTCTTTAGGATTCCTACCACAACCTCAAATTAGAGCTGGCTTGTTTCATAAGAAGTACTGCAAGAAAAGAAAAATAATAATAATAATAACAAAAAGAACATGTAAGGAGCATGAAAGAACTTCCTTATTCATTTCTAAATATGATGGCTTGTAACGCATAAACTGGCCAGCCATTATTGATTGATTCTTCATGTAGGGGATTCCATATCATTCCAACTTCCAAGCATAATATGATCTCGTGACAAAGTTTCTTAACGTCATTAATTGAAGATATTCTTTCTAATTACACACATTAATGGCGTGCCCACATAAGAAGCACATGCAGTACTTGTGTGTTTAAGCACATAGTGAAAGAGGGTGCAATGTTTTAATTGTAAAAGGAAGACAAGTAGAAAGACATCTTATTTCTTATCCACACAAGATGAAGACAACAAATGTAATATTATTATTAAAAATTCATACAATTTGGCGCCTGAATTTTCACAGCTATACACCATAAAGAAGCTTCTTATATATCCAGCTCCTTTACAAGACAAAATTAGTATTATACAAGCACAACCAAGAAGGAGAAGGCTAGAGATGTGGGACAAAGAACAACTTGACCACTAGCAAATTTCTTAACTTTGCCATGAATTTCCAAGATACCCTTCAAAGCTAATTTCGTCTTCCTTTCTCTTTCATCTCTAAAAATCATTTACCTGGAAAAATAATATGCATATAGTTATATGACAAGAACAAAAAAAAATCTCTCTTCATCGAATAACAGACTTCAACAAAAATATTTAGGAATTCGATATCGTTGAAAGTACCTATTGATCTTTTGCAATGAAGAACTGCTTCATAGATTGAGCTCTCAATATCATACACTGTGCTTGGACCTGGTGAACTGCAACTACTCCAGCTCTTAACTTCAAGTGTTCTTCTATCAATATCATCAACCTTTGTGCTTTTCTTCGAACCCCCCACGACTTTTGCCCGTCGAGTTCTGATAAGATATCCGAATATCTTTCGCAAGACTTGCTCGGATAACAACCTTCTCCGCCTTCTAAAGAAGCAACAAGAACAGCCCATCTGAACATCCTGATCAGTGACGCTAGTTCTTGGATCAGATAGAGAGGACAAGGCGAAAATATCGGAATCTGTTGTACTCTTACTACTACTGCTAGTAGAACTAGAGACTCCTCCATTAATGGGATCCACAAAGACGGGCTTGATTAGGCCATCAGAGAAGAGTTCATCAGCGTGGACAAAGTTAACGGGAGATTTATCAGAAATTGAGGTATCAAAATCGAAGCTGTTTGTGTTGGATTTATCAAGGACTTTTATCAAAGAGGGTCTTGTGTTTGACAACCAACTGTCTGAGAAGCTTTCTACAGCTAAAGGCCGAGATGTTGTTTCCATAGAAACTTTGAAAATATAGTAAAAGTTTGAAGAGGAAAATGAAAAAACCAACTAGCTTGTGTGTATATACATATATATATATGTGTGTGTGTGTGTGTGTGTGTATACATATGTATGTATCTATGTATGTATGTATGTATATTTGTTGTGTGAAAAAGGCACACGTGATTGGCTATCTTCAAGTTAGAAACTCAACCAGTGTTATGATGTCTGTGAGCGAATACATTGTCTATTCTGTCACGTTCATTCAGGAGACAAATGGAACAAAATGAGCAGCCTTGACAATGGTATTTTTGTCTTGTTTTCAGGATTTCCCTATCTTAGTTAGTTCCACTAGTTTTCTATTTATTCTTGATAATATATACTGTAAACATATAGTTGTGTGTGTAATAATTCGTATTATAGTATGTTCTAGATTCCATTTTATAATATTCGCTAGATTACTTTGTAAAAAGAATTACAAAACAGACAGATATATGTGCTTGTGTGATCGAAATATTTTAATAGCAATTAATTGAAGGATTATTGTGAGATCCAAGATTTTATTCTACGCTTTAGCACTAATAAATTAGATATTGTAGGGATAACACATCCAACGCTTATAAAATAGGAGTTCTTTGAGACAAAAATCTATAATATTTATTTAGTTTATAATATTAAAAATAGGATAAAATTTATAAAGATTTTATAAGCCTTGGATGTGTTAATATTTAGTTTTCATTTAATTAGAATTAGAAATTTATTTTTATAAGGATAGTTTTCCATTACCGATTTTTCATATTTTATTTTGGTTTGGCTTCTTATATTTGTTATTTGGTTCTCCCATAACTATGGTACTTTGTAATTTCAATTTAGAGTTGACGATTAATCAATAAATATTGAGCTAATAGTTTCTCTCTTGAGAGTTTTGTTCTTAAATCATTTGTTTCTCTTCTTTGGTTTTTATCTCGTTTTAGTTTAAACCAGATTCTATTTATTCAAGTTCACTCATACCTTTAAAAAAAAAAAAAAAAAAAAACTGTCATCAGATTACAACAAATATATTCAGGGACAGAAAATGGAAAGAGAACAAAATTTGGGATCCTTTTTATATTTTTTTGCTTGCATCTTTAATAGTTGTGTTCCTTGATCTTGTCAGTTGCCTTTGTTATTGTCGTTTTCCAATTTTTAGCGTCTCAAGTTTTGCTGTTGTTTCTGAACTCCCATTGTCGTTTATAATTTTACTGTCATTTAAAGTTTTGTTGTTCGCTACTCAGTTGCCTCTTTTGTCGGTTTTTTTTCGTTACCTTGGTAGCTTCTTACTATAGCTTGGATCTTTGTTATTATTTTTTTCTTTATATGACGTTATTATGAGTGCAAGACAACAGTTATATCTTTTACCGTTCAAATATTTAAATATTTTCTGCCGCTTTGTTTTTTTTTTTCCAAACAGAAAAAAAAAAAAATATATATATATATATATATATATATATTACTGCCGCTTTCCTCATATTGTCGTTTTTCCCGTTTTTGTCGTTTCTAATTGTATTGTCGTATGCCTCTTTGTTGGAGTTTTTAGATCCTCTTGCCGTTTCTTTTTTTTTTTTTGGTCGTTTTGGATTTTATTATCGTTTTACCTTTAAATGTCGACTTTAATGTTCTGTTGTTGCTTTCGGTGTTTTGTGTCTTTCGCTGCACTTTTTTTTTTGGGTCAATTTCACGCTCTATCATCTTTCTTTTTCGAAATCAGTTGTTGTAGGTGAGTCTATTTTTTTCTTTCCATATTTTTTGTTGTTATTTTTCGTTATTGTAGCTTCAATTGCCTTCTGAAAAAACTGAATTCATTATTCGAAGTATGTTAAACTCAACTCAATTAGTTAAATAAATAGTTATTAATTTATTAAGACGGTAAGATCTACGAGTATCTATGTTAAAATTTTAAACAAGCAACCAGCTTCTAATCTCAAATCTAAAGGTTAAAACATTAATTAAAAAGCAGCACCTATAGGGTAGGGTAAAAAAGCCTTATCTACCCTAAGTATCCTCTTTTTTTTTCTCTTAGGTCATTGAGTTGAGATAGTTAGGCTAACTTCTTCGATAAACTTACAACTAATGAAGTTTCTTTTTTTCTTCTTCAAAATATTTCAAAATGTGTGTTTTTTTTTTTAACTTGAAACATTTTTTTTTAAAGTACTTCAAACGAGTTTTAAGGGGGTAAATTATGATAATAAAAATTTTTTGGGCAAAAATTGAAAAAAAAAATTATATTAACAGTTGGTGCCTTCAATCACTGAATAACAAAAAGTGTATAAATTCAAACCCTGTTTCAACGGGTTTCTCCTGCTTCTTGCTTCGTGACCACATGATCTTAGGTCAGTGTTTCATTTGTTCTTTCACGCTTTTTATCTATTGTATTGAATCAATATGAACTTGATTTGAGAAATTTGCTTGTTTTGATGTTTTCGTGATCACATATCAGTTTAAGGAAGCAAACGAGTTTTGTAGTTCACTCTCCCTTTTTGGTTTGAGATTTCAGGAATTTCGAGTTCAAGTAAGAATTGTCACTATTTTTCTGCCTCATTTTAAGATATCGTCATTTCTAGATGCGAAATCGCCAAGAGAGAGGAAGTGACAGAATAGGGAGAGAGATGGTACCCTTAACAACATAACTAGCCATGTGAGTTAGAAGCAATGAGGAATCTAATCTCATCACTCTTGCTCCTGATGTGGTGCGCACCCCCGGGACACCCCCCGGCACCACCGGAGCACCCCCGGAACACCCCCGGGGCACCCCCGGGACACCCCCAGGGCACCCACGGGACACCCCCGGGACACCCCCTGGAGACTCCCGGGAGACCCTCAGGGTAACCCCAGGGCAACCCCGGGGAACCCCCGGGGCACCCGCGGGGCACCAACCGGGCACCAACCGGGCACCCTCAGGGCACCCCCAGGGCACCCCAGGGACACCCCCAGGACACCACCGGGAGACCGCCGGGACACCCCCGGGACACCACATGGGCAACCCCGGGGCACCCTTGGGGCACCCCCGGGACATCCCCGGGGCACCCCTAGGACATCCCCAGGGCACCCCCGGGACACCCCCGGGAAACCCGCGGGACACAGCCGGGAGACACCCGGGACACCCCCGGGACACCACCAGGGCAATCCCGGGACACCCCCGGGAGACCCCCGAGAGACCTCGGGGAAACCCCCGGGGCACCCCCGGGAGACTGCCGGGAGTCCCCCGGGGCACCCCCGCGACACCCACGGGGCACCCCAGGGACACCACCGGGAGACTCCCGGGAGACCTCCGGGGCACCCCCGGGACATCCCCGGCGTACCCCCGGGACACCGACGGGGCACCCCCGGGACACCCCCGGGGCACTGCCGGGACACCGCCGGGACACCCCCGGGACAACCCCTGGAGACCCCCGAGAGACCCCCGGAAGATCCCCGGGGTAGCCCGCCCGAGACACCCCTGGGGCACCACCAGGACACCTCCGGGACACCCCGGGGACACCGCCGGGGCACCCCCGGGGCACCCCGGGGGCACCTCCGGGACTGTTAGCGTTTATGCCCTTAGGAATAAATGTAACAATATTCTTTGAGATATTTTGACTATTAATAAAGATTTGTTTATTTTATATATCTATGAATTATCCTCTTTATGTTCATAATAGTTGAATGTATGATAAGTAAACTGAAAGTCTGAGACTGTCATTCTAAATCTTTAGGTCATGCATGTAATGTGAAGAACATGCGGAAGACAAGAATCTAAAGATGATAGTCTAAATCTTATGATCCACAATCGAGGGAATAAAGTTGGGCGCTTTATTCATGTTAAGATTGTTATGTTGTCTACTTCCTAACGGGGACGGCTTGTCTTGGTCGTCGGAGGTGGGACTCCATGGGTGGAGACATTGATATAGTTTCTAATGGTGAAATCTATATTGGATCGGACCAAAGTTGAATTGTTTTAATTAATAATTCTGTTTGAATAAAAAAATTCACTTTTGACGAATTATATGTTGTCATCTTAATCCTGAGATGGATGATGAACCTGTATACTTGACTTGTATCCTTTGATGTACTAAAGGGAGACATCCTGACATTATGTAAAGGTACGCTTGCCGGTACATTGGGGGTATAACTCATGTATGCATAGATTCGTTATTCATAGATAGTGGAATCCACAGCTCCTATAAAGAGTCAATGATATCCTCTTATGCATTATCATTGGATTGGAAAATATGAGCGCTCAGCCATTGGACTACTCTGTGTTATCTAATGGTTTACTGTTTGTAATGATACGAATAGTATTTTTCCGATGGTATGATAATGGAACATAAGATAAATGTAATCGGGAAGGTAAAACGGAACTTGACCTTAAGTCGATTATGGATATCCTATGGGGATGATACAATAATATTTTGAGTCATAGACTAGAGCTAATCAGAGCTTT